ACGAGAGGTGGACGCCAAACTACCCGAAGCGCCTCGGCCTACGAGTTCGAACTCTTCCTCGAGCTCTACCTCCGGCTCGCTAGAGCTATCAGGGGATGCAACTCAATTCATAGAACCTGCATCAGACCCACTGGAATGACTATCTGAGCTATCCAAGCTAGACATCGGGGAGTAAGATGGATTCCAAGAAAGTACTCACCCAGAAAAAGGCTATAGACCACGGGAGCTCGGACGAGCAAAAGACCTTGAACGCGAACTGAAAAAAAAAAACTGGACGCGAAGAAAAAACCTGGATGCGAGCTGAAACTCGGACGCGAGCTCGAGAGAAATACAAAAGTGACAGTGACTGGGGTCCCCCCCCCCCCCCTATTTATACTCATAGTGATCGAAAAGCGACGGCTTAGATCAAAGCCAATCCAACGGCCCACAGTCGCACTGACCGCACGTCCCCTGAGACCGAGACGTGATTGGCGCACGTCTTTCTGAAATTGACAGAGCGCCGACGCACGTCTTCCTAAAACTGACAAAGAACCGGCGCACATCTTTTCGAAACTAATGGAACGCCAGCGCACGTCTCCTCACAATAAAAGCGGCAGCGGCACGTTTTCAAATTTGAAAAGACGGCTGCTGTCGTGTCTCCCAAGTGGCGCGCTTTTTTGAAATTTTGAAATAAAGCACGCGTCGTCGCATCTATCAGCGTTCAGGCAGGTCGGCATGTTTCCCGCCTTTTGAGCGCTCGAAGAAACCCAAGGAACCCTGACAACGCACCTCGTGCCATTAGAACCAAGATTCAAAGTACAAGGCAAATCCACCTGACACCTTGCGAACACCCCGCGCTAGGGCAAGAACCTTAACGCGCGGAGTGAGGGGAAATTAATGAAGGAAGATTTGGCCCAACCTCGCAATCACCCCACGTGACAAAAGCAAATAGCTCGGCACTTAAAACAGCGTACCCACGACGCAAGCACCAAAGGGAAGAAACCATCAGTCCGAACTCCCTTCGAGGAGCCCGAACTCCCTACGAGGAGCCCGACCTCCCTACTAAGAACTCGAACTCTCTACGAGGAGCCCGACCTCCCTACGAGGAGCCCGAACTCTCCCTTGGGCCCCGAGTCACACAAGGCAGTGACCCGAACTGACCTGCCTCATGGCAGTTCGGGACACTCCCCTATCTGACACTTCGCCTCCGAGACRCCGAACTGAACAAACGTACCATACCTGACACCGAAGAGGTTCGTATCCAAGGGGCAGCGCATCTAACTGACTTGGGATCTGACACTTGACAGTCGCACTTCAACGGTCACCTACCACCGCCACCTGCCACCGTCATCGCCAGTCGCAGAGACGGCTCCGACAAAAGGGAACAGTGGCGGTTCTAACCAGCAGAGGGGATGACACCCGAACTGACAGGAAACCAGAGGTAATCATACCCGACCTGACAGAAGCTTAGGAGTGAGTGCACGATGTGGCTATAAAAGGCCCCCTACCCCCAAGAACAAGGTATGCAAACTTTGCGCTATCTAGTTTTATCTTGCCTTTGAAGGATTCTAACTTGAGCTTCGGAGCCTCCACACCGGGTTCCCCCCGGAGCTTCCTCATCTTCTCCGTTTCAGGTTCCCCGCAATTCCGTTCAGAAGCAAAGTCGTTGACAACTAAGACCAGCCGAATTGCACACCATCAGAAAGTGTCCTATCTCTTTCTTGCATTCCTTTCAAACCTTGGCCATTTGTCTATATATATAAGTATGAAAGGTTAAAGCCATAGAGGGAAGGACCCTCTTGGACTCATGTAAGACACCACTCTATAACCTTAACTCTAGGGTTTTTCTACAGCCATATTTCTAGAGGTGTAAATCGGGTCGTGCCATCCATGGCCCGGCACGACTTGGCACGATGGTCTGCGGGCCGTGCCAAGCCCAGCATGACCGAATGGGTCGTGCCACCTGCAACCAGCAGGCTAGCACAACCCAACCCGCAACTCGACCCAACACGGCCTGTGGCATGGCTCAGCACGACCCATATATATATTTCATATATTATAATTATATAATAATATATAGTATATAATATATTAGTAAAATAAATATTTTTTTTTATTATACTAATTTATTTAATTATTGCATATATAAGCAATTTTATACACAAAATTCATATAAAATTAAAATTTTAAATTTTTTTAAATAAATAGCTTTGACCCGATACATGGCCTGACCTGGCCCAAGGCTCGGCCCACAGGCCAGCCCAGCCCGTGGCACGGCACGGCATGGCACAGGCCCACATGGGCCCGGGCTGTGAACCATGCCAGGCCAACCCTCAAATTTTTCACCAAGGGCCGCCCACGCCGGCCCGGCACGGCCCACTTTACACCTCTACATATTTCTCCCTTTTCTTTTCTCCTCTCTTCACCGCCACTCTCTGAACCTTCGAAAACCACACAATCCTTCTGGCTTTGTTGGTTCAAATTCGACGATAATCTTCAGTGTTGTGGCGCCAAGACAATGTCAAGCATTAAACCCCTGTGATCTTCGGGTCGTTCCTGATTACAGTCATTGATCTCAATTACCTGAGGATTTCCGTCATCGGTGCTTGACATTATTTGATCGATTTCATCAAAAATGGATTCTCGGGGTTTTTAAGCCAGGTTCCAGATTGTCAGAGTTTCACTTTCTAGAAGAGCTCCCCTCTTAAATGGACGACAAAAACTGGTGGCCTCGCTTGAACGCAACGGATCCATTGTCAGAACCAGTTTCTTGAATAATTGTATAATAGAGTAATAAGTTTTAGTTTCAGATGCCCAAAATTTACGGTTTGATTTGTCTTTTTTTTTTCTTTTTGTGTTTCGTACTTAGGTGAACCACAGGGCAACAACTCCCATTACGTCGGCATACGGTCCCTAAAGGATGATATCTCCAAATTCATAAGGATAGTAAGTGAAGTCAGGACAAAGATGCAGGATGTATGAATGGTCCAATTAGTGGTATATTAGTACAATTTTTTTTATTTTTGAGAATATCTCTGAAGTAAAAACAATGGTAGATGTAGTAAGGTTCAAGATACTTTCCTCCTTTGAGTCAAGAATTTTCAGATTGACCAGCCATAACTTGGAAGAAACTGGACAATTGCTGATAGGGTTTTTCTACAACCATATTTCTCCCTTTTCTCCTCTCTTCACCACCATTCTCTTCAGACACCTTTGGATACCAGACTATTATGATCATGGAATTCATGGCACTAACAGTATGGGTTAAGCGAATGAACTTTTGGTTTAGGTCTTGGGCTGGTAGGAGTAGATTTAGGCCTTGTAACGGATGAATTGGGGGTGCCTCAAAATATGAATTAGGACGATTTTTATGATATAACCAAGTTATTGGTTTTAGGTTAGTTTCTATGTTGATTGGGTAGGTTCTTGGCACTAAAACCTTGGGTGATATGGAGTTGATTTTAGATTAGGTGTTAAGTTGTAATTAGGACTTCTTGTAGGCTAAATTGAAACATGTTTTTGCACTGAAAATGGTAGATTTATAGGTTTAAGAAGGTAGGGCACGTATCACTTAGAAAAGGAGCTAGGATCAAGGTACTCCACCCACTATTTCCAACTTAAATACATCCAATCACCTTCAATACCATCAACCATCACCTGCAATGAACTTAACTACGTGGAGGAAAATATATACCCAAACATTCCTCTCCATGTAGCAATGCATTCCACCATATTAGTTCATATATATCAAGTAAAAATCATTAAAGTGAAACAAAACAAAATAAAATGCTAACGATAGTGGATCTTCAAGTACCTAAAACATCATCGGCTTTCTTGCCTTTTCCTTCCACTTGGTTGCCTTTCAATCTATAAAAGTTATCAAAAAAACCAAATCAATGATAATTAAAACACTATTATGGTCTTAATTAGAAGCATGTAAATTAATATATGTAGATACAAAGGAGGTAACCCAAGGAATGGCTACAACCTTGTGCATCTCCCAAGGTTTTCAAGTTTGCATTTCTCTTCATTAACACATAATCCTTCTTTAAAACTTTCTTTACCACTAACTTGCACCACCTATGGTCAAATTCTTTCGACATAACTTTTTTAGGGTCAACAATGATAAATAGACCCTTTGCTACAACTTCATTTTTATCATTACCCATTTCAATTTAGTTGTAGTTATTTGAATTACAGCAACCCAATGTGCCTTAGAATGTGGAGTGCTTACTAGAAAATATTGATAAATTCAAAGTTTACCACTAAAAAATATCATAATGTTTAAAGTGTAAAATTTAAAGGCAAAAATAAATATCATAATTGCAAGCATAATATCCTATGAAATTTCCAACGCAGAAGATAAGGAATCGTTATTGGATTGTTCCAAGCTAAAAGAGGTCTCTTACCAAAAATCAACTTGTTCTTGTGTTTGGACCATATCAAAGAGTTTTATACTATCTTCTCTTAGATCCTAAACAACTGCTACCATTATCTTCTCTTGATAAATCTATTTCTTTCATTAAGGAGGAAAACTCTAGAGAATTGAATAACCCCACCATCTTAATTCTATAACCACTAGATAATATAAACTACATTTGTAATTTTATGCGTTGTGGGTTATGGGCCTTGCCATATGTGAGCGGTGGAATGACAAGAATATAGTTAATTATTCATCGGGCTTTGGAAGCAACCTTCATTTGTTTGAACGCCAAGGCCCAAGGACAATATTGATAGTCTTGTGCATACATGGACATATGACCAAGGAAATTTGGCTTACCTAAACTCCACCATCTCTCCACTCAGCACGGCTCAAGGGGCAGGAAGCCTTTAGGAAAACTCACATTTACCTCACCAGCCCATCTCTAAGTAAGTGAATCAACAAATCCATTGGCATTTGTTGAGTCAAGCTCCCATTTGAATGAACTGTTTTGGGTAGTTTCTGTAATCGGTTTGAGTAGTTTCTGTCGTAAATGTGTGATCAAAGAATGGTGTTATGCAGAGAGAGCTCTGTTGTCAAATCTGGATTTCCTCCTCACAATGGTACTCACACCCACCTCACAGCATTTGTAGCCATGAATTGAGAACATCTCCTCTTGAATAAAACATGCAAGTACGTAAGATATTTCCAACGTGTAGCTGCATGTTGTAAGGTGAGTGTGAAGAGGATTCTGATGTGGCGAGGAAATCCAAATTCCTTGTTGACAGCCTAGGCTATTGGCTTTAGACAACACTTTTTTTCAATCTGACCAGAATTTTATGTTTATTATTATTGTTGCAAAATAGTGTTTAAAATATTTTAATTAAACATATACATATTATATGTCATTCTGAAATGATGACTCTTAGGTAATCAATCCATCACCAAAGAGGTTATGTAAGGTTGAATTGTGAATATGGGTTAATGGGTACAGTAAAGGATCAACGGGCTCAAATTTAATTATAGGGACATTAACTTCTTGATTATTTGTAGCGACTAGACCATCTTATGATAGTTCGGTCTTAACTATCATAAGAATTTAGTTTTATCATTCTTGCTTCAAGGAGCATTCAAATAGCACTACCAACTTTGGTGAGTATAGACAATCACCAGTTGCATTCCCCTAATAAAAAGTCCATGGAGTCCCTTGAATTCCCCTCTTGTAGATACCAATGTGATAACCCACCCACCCACATGTTGAACATCTTAGGCTTGTTGGGAATTCTTTAAACCGGTAAATGAACCTCTGATCGATGCTTTATGCATGTTCCAGTAGAAGTTATGAATTTCATTGCCTAACAAAGATATAGCCAAATAAAATACTAAACCAATAAGTCATAACAAAAGCGATGTCATTTTAAAAAAGAGTAATTGTTCCACAAAAGAACTATTATTGCAACACTATTTGCACAACCACTCCCAGACCTCATGCCTCAAAGCAACTTGCAATATAGAAGGAAAAAAAATATCTAAAAAATCACCTCTCTGTTGTGTCTCACCACCAAGTTCATAACATATAGTCATCACAAAGAAGACAGAGATGATGAACCTCAAAATTGAATCTAAATGATGATTTTAAAGGCAAAAGATATGCCCCATAAATGCCACGACAAAGATTTGTTAGAATTGAAAACTTCATGAAACAGATAATTATATATCTGTCCCCAGTATAAGCTCCTTTATAGACCCAAGCACAAAAATATAGGATACTATGAATTAACTCCAGGAATTTACTCTATATCAAGGAAAAGCATGGGAAAGATCTCCTTGTGAAGATAGGTATAAGGAAGAAACCCCATAGACCATCACTGTTATGCACCACAACAATCCTGGCATTTTAGGCTCTGGCTCATTCTTACCCTATCCCTGGAGGAACCTATATTGCAGAACATCTAACCTAGCATAACTCTACCTTTTTGACTTGTAACTGGACAAAGAGATTATATTAACATGAAGATAGGTACAAGAGTCAGTCCATACATATAGAGGCAAATTTAAATCAAGCCCAATAATTTGAGGTAGAACAAAAACAAAATAGCTCAACAAGCAACAACAAGAACAGAACTATTGGGGAATGAAACAGGAACTATATTGTTAAGCTTTTCAGACCCCTTGGGAGAAGGAAAATCATTGACCATTGAAATGCTTGCTTTTCTGCAAGACCTAAGACTGCATTCCTCTTCAAAATTTTCTAATTTAGTTGTATCATGCGCACGTGTTGTCACTTTTACAGCCCCTGGTCCTTGGACTCTTAGTTTTTCTCTTGTTTTTTTCTGAAAGGTAAAATGATGTATTGTATAGCTTAAAAGGTGAGAGTCCCTCAAAGAAGTACAAAAAATATGGAGATATATAGGCCTAGACACCTATACAAAAGTATACTGAGTGTCCTTCCTGTTTTCAATATTCATTCATTTACAAAATCCACAAATAGAATCCTTTCCCATGGGTTCATAGTTCCTTATACTTGCGCCTTTAAATTCTTTCTATGCACCCGCCCATTTTATCAACCACCTTTCAACCTTCCCAGTTAGCTGCTCAGGACCTAGACCCGCCTGGTTGAAGACCCTACTGTTAGGGTCCAACCAAATGGTCTAGCTTTGTGCCCCTAGAAGAATCTACCCTAATTTACTACCACTTTTACTAAGTGCCTTAGTAAACCAGGCTGCAATTAATTAGAAAGGGACTCTTAGATATTTAATTAGAGAACCAAAGGCTTAGGAAACCAATATGAATGTAACTAAGGTGCTTTTGAGCATTCTAGTAATTATTTTGGGTCAGATATGGAATGTAATGTATTTTTCCTCAATCCTAAATTGGATTGAAAGTCTCCATAATTTGATGAGATTCCAGTAATCGATCAAAAAAATACAAAACCATGCTTGAAGATAGGCCCTCCACTATAGTTTAGATCAATGTTTTAAAAACCGACCCAGAGGCCAAACCGTTTTTGTCTTCGAGTCACGGGTCACCGGTTCGACCGGCCGGGTCGAATGGTTCAGACAGTTCCACATCATCATATATGTATTAAGTATATAAATTTATATACATATGTATATATGTGTATATATTTATATATGTGTATATATGTATATATGTGTATAAATATATATTTTACCAATAAATAATGTATAAATATGTTTTAGATGTGTGATATGTATTTTTATATTTAATTTATATTTTTTAACTCAGTTTTTAATTTTTTTTTATTATAAAAAATATTAAAAATTTCAATTTGTGGCCAAAAAGGGTTTTTTTGCGAAACTAGCAAGGCACCTTAGAACGCATAGATCTCTAAAAGTAACCCAAAATCAAAAAAAAAAAAAAATCACTCCAATCGGGCATCGGAGTGCAAAGTTATGGCCTCCGAAAGTTTGCATACATTGAGTGTGCAACCAGCGACCCGGTGACCAGGTCGAATGGGTCAACGGTTGAACCGGCTGGGTCGAATGATTCTTGACCAAGTCAACGGTTTTTGACCATCTTACGGATCTTGACTGGACCAGACCCAGAATCTTGTCCAGGTGTTGGTTCGAACGGTTTGACCAACCGGGTCAACAGTGGGTTGACAACACTGGTTTAGATCTAACCTACCATGACCATCACCAATTAAGTTTTGAATACTGAAGATTTTATGCCCTATGCAATGCCAAATCAATACCCTTCCCGAGAACAAATAATACTGAATTCATCCTTTAGGCCATCTTTGGTTTCCTTGAGAAAAATCACGAGGAAAAAGAAATGGGAATTTAAAGGATCTTTCCACAACTTTTCTTTTCTTATTCTTTTTTGAGGAACCAATCACATTCCCAGTAAGTAGTCAGTACATATCAGGAATTGAAGATAATTCAACCAACTATATCTTCTTGAAATCTTAAAATTAAAATGCTAGTTTTGACACTACTGGCTAAATTGAGAAATCTAAATTTCCATACATTATTTTCAGTGGAGCCAGCTCAATAAAGGTGAATAAGTTCCCAATGACCCCAACTGCAAAATAGACGTAACAACATCTTTACTAAAGCTCCTTATACAAAATCCCTAGGAAGAAAAGAGTAAAGAAAATAAAAAAAAAATAAAAAAATCGGATAATGTAATTTCTTAGAAAGCAATAAGATAGTATATATTAGGAGAAGAATAAAATGAGAGAAAACTTATAATATTGCCACTTCAAAAAAGTTCCAAACATGCTATTCTGTCACTTGACATCAACATCTTTGATCTGCTTTAAATTGATAAAGGTCATAGGTTTGTGTTCTCCTAACAACATCTTTAGTTAGTCTAATGTGGAAGTAAATTTTATAGGATAAATTTATGATGCTCAAAAAGGTATAACCCAATTTTGTAATTAGTATTAACTTAAGATACAAAACCTAAGATATAACTATAGCTATGATATCCAATTTACATGGTAGCATCTTGGCAATGTTTTACAAAGGCATGAGCAGGCTTTCACATACCTATATTGTGTTTTCTTGTTTGATTGGAAACCTGAAAAATGAAGAAGAATAAAAAGAAGAATAAGATGAGAGGGAAAAGGCTTCTTTAGTGTGGTTGAGGGAAGATGGGAGGTTTCTAACCCTCTATTTGATTCAATCAATCACAACCAAAGGGGGGAGATGGAAGAGATGTTCCAGTATTGTTAGGGTTGGTTGATAGAGTAAGGGAGAGGAAGAGGTAGGGAACTCAACCACTGGAAGAGAGGGGGATTTTCGCATGTTCATGGATTTTGAGCTAGGGGTGATCAAGGGATGGGCCCAAGTTGGGCTCTGCACATAAACCCAGGCTTGGGCCTACAAGGGTCGGGGCTAGGTGGGTCGAATTCCGATCCTACGTCTAAATTCTAATATATACATATACATACATACATATATAATATTTTATATTAAATGACATAATATATTTAAATTTATTTTATATATTTTATAATATAAACTATAACATATATTAGAAATATCATATTATAATATCTATACATAAAATAAATGATATCATGGTTTTAAAACCATTGTTAACCTAGACAATTAGACCGTTGGGCTTAAGAATTGGCATCAACACCTGATTTTTGCTCGATCCTACAAAACCAAATCCTAACTCAAATTCACTATTAAATCTTTAAGATTCTCTTACAAAGGTCATGACTGTGCCCCATCAACACACTGACACATGATCGGACTTCACCACATGAAACAAAACCTTTGAACATACAATCACATCAAACTTCACCCTTTAATTCCAAGGTTTTATCGTTCATCCATCAAAGATTTCATTTCAACGAATTTGACACCACGACATTCTCAAGCCTAAAACCTATGATTCATACATTCTTGACACAATAGAACCCTCCCACTAGTCTCATAACTCAAATCCTTGCCACTCTACCAAATTTCAACCCAAAACCCCATTATTTACCCCTTTATTAAATAAAGATTCCATTCCAAACTCCCTTGTTAGTCAAAATACCTACATCCCAGATCCCCAAGATTTCAATGCCTTTAAGTCCGTCAAACACCTCCATCTAACTCAAAATATCCTGAAATACCGATCCACCAAATTTTAGACAAAAATACCCATTTTACCCTTCCTACAAAAAACATTCCAATTTAACCACCCTCATCATCCGTCACTCTCAAAATCATGGATCTCCATCACGACACTTCCCGCAAAACCTCCAAACCATACTATTACCTTCCTAGAATTCCTGATCAATCTCCCATCAAATTTCAAACTTAAAATCCACAGTTTGCCCTTCCTACAAAAATTATTCCAATTCAACCATTCTCGTCGCTCGCCACTATCAAAGTCATAGATATCTATGCATGGGGTCTCAATAAAATATTTAACTACAATAGCCCAAACATATTCGACTTGGATACCAAATATTCAAAATATTAATGGAACATTTTTAAGAAAGACGGAGTATCAAATAAATCATTTCAAATAGTTAACTGTTTAATGAGCACAATTCCAAACTACAATTGTCTAAACGTTTTGATTATGATTTATCATTTCATAAGGTCAAATATTTTCTCGTGCTTGATCTTGTTTTATGTAAGGAAAAAAAAAACTAAAAAGTATATACTTTTGTTCAATTAACATTTTTAAAACTAACAAGAGATATGGAAGGTCACTTACCTGGTACGCTAAATCCTAGTACCCAATATATATACCAAGTCAAGGTGTGTCGTGAAAGACTATAAATAATAAATAGATAAAATGGTTTATCACTTGGGCTTCTAAGTTTTTTTAATTTCTAATATTCAACTACTAAGCTCTTGAGACCATTTTCCAAATTTATAGCTCATTTTCTAAGGACAAAATTTATGAATTCATCATTCAAATGTAGATTCCCCACAACTAGATATAAGATAGAACGGAATTTTACCCAAAAATATTACAAAAACTGTTGTTCTCTAGTCACCCAAATTTGACTATTGACCAATTATTTCCAGACTACCCATATCTGTCATGATTAAGTACCTGAATTCTTAAACCCATAACTTCCTATTCGTTTATTTGTTTTGAGAATATAACCTACCGTTACAAAGATTTCCTGACATACTATGAATTAGAGACAAATTTCGACCATTTCTATCACTTTATCTTTATGGCCCCATTTCGGTGGTCTAACATCGGAAAATCATTATTCTTTTCGAATTTTCTAGGTTCAATATGTTCAAAATGCCAACATCCCAAGATCATAATTTTTCACCCAAAAGTCCAAATGAAGAGTTCTATCTACCGTTTCAAAGAGCTCGCCAAGAACTATAGTTTAGAATTAATATTTGGCCAAAAACATTGCCAAAGGGCTGGTTTCCAATGGCCTAAAGATGGATGACGTCCAATCTGTTACAATCTAAAGTTTAACATGATTCATAATCTACAAATTCAAATGCTACAATATTGGACTTGTTGAGATCCTAATGACATGAAGTTCTGATTTGAATCATTTTCCTTGCTAGAGAAAATGGATGTCTAAAAAAAAACTAATTCTTGATTTAAAACTAATCCTAAAATGCAAGAGAAAGCAAAACTCAGTGGTTTAAAAAAGAAAATAACTTACCTAGATTGATTGCAGCAGAGATCTGTTGAGACCAGCCCAACCCAGTCCACGGTCAGCTCACGCCCAACTCGAAAGGATGGAACATACCCCCCTAAAGGAATGAACAAGTTTGTTAGAAGGAACAGGGCACTGAAGGCCACGTCAACAGATCCCCTGTCAGAAACAGCTACAATAACAATGATTGCGCATGGAAATAGCTTCGAGCCAGCTATATGAGGCTCTAGTTTTGTATGGACAGACATAGTGAATTAATATCATCCTTACCTATCTTGCTCTCAGACTTCCTTCTTCTCACCTTCTTCTTTCCCCATTTCTCTGTTTCAGGAGGGCGACTCTCCCTTGAAGAGACTTCTAAGGTAGGTGGTTCCTACCATTTTTGGTATCAAAGCAACCATGCCGCAGATGAGATCTTCCACGGCAGACGAGCGGCTTAATCAAGTGGAGGCTAACCTGAATCAGGTATCCTCTGAGATCAAGGATATCAAGGCGGCAATCTCCGCCCTGCTATCACAATAGTCCACAGGGGAGGCGCAAGGCGCATCAGGTGCGTGCCCTGTGTGCCTAGGCGCACCTCAAGCACGCCTTCTAAATCACTGTTGGAGCGTTGTAACTAAATTCTTTTAATCTAATGAATTCCAGTTATTTATCAAAAAAATGTGTTAGGATCAAGGAGATCTGGGTCATGGGTGTTTTAGGCTAACGAAAGGGCCTGAAAGGGAATCATTGTTTGATTGAAGGTTAAACAAAGGAATCTTGGGTTGAAATTTCATGGGTACGTACTTTAGGATGTTTTGATTCGAATGGGAGTGTCTGATCTAATGGACGGGGTGTAAATGGAGGTTAATTGTGGCTATCAGATTGGTATTGGGCAAGTTAACAATGGACTTAGGGGCTTTTAGGTTGAAATTTGGGCTATCTGGGTTTTTTGGTGTTTTGAGAAGATTGAAAAGGTCTATTGGGTGTTCGGAGTGAATTAGGGGTTTAGGCGGCAGGTACCATCAAAATCATTAACTTCCTTTTGTCAATGGGGACCCCTAGATTGATGACTCTAAGCTTTCGTGGCACAGGAGAATTCAAGGACAATCTTCTTTGAGTGAGGAGACATAGTGACCTATTGAATCAAATAGTAACACTAAAATCATGAGTTGATTACCTAAATTATTCCAAATATTTACTAATTCACTATAGCAAGTACTCTAAATGTATGATCTACAAATTAACTAAGCAATAATAAAACACAATCAATCAAATCAAATGCCCCAAGTTCATATAATTCCTACCCATCTCAGCGCAAACCTAAGTGATTCCCTAAAAACCATAACCCATCTCTAATACCACTAAATTGTCATGCCCCAAACCTAAGGCTATCCTAGTTAAAATCAAAATTGGATAAAGTACCCCTTAAGTTCTAGGAAATTGACTAACCCCTACAGTTTAGAAATTGACTTAAAGTACCCCCAAGTTCTCTGACAATCGACTAAATACTCTTACCGTTACCGTCCATTAATGGAAATATACTATTTTACCTATAATTCTCTCTATAGCATTACCAACATCCTCCTTTCCATTTACTGATATCTTGGTAGTGCATCAGGTGCTTCCATCTTCAATAAAATCCTTCAGCAGGTACCTACTTCAGCATCCCCTTTCTTTTGGTTTCATGGACATAAGAAACCCAGAAAAGGAAAAATAAATTCCAAGCTTTGCCCATTCCTGAAATCATCTCAGCAGAACCTAGATATAAACGAATAATTACACCAAAAGGAAAAGGCCCTACATTTTGCAATATTTCTAGAAGCACACCATAGGCACAGAAATAAGGAATGAGAAGCTTGCAGCGGAAACATATCTAAACCACCCATTAGTTACTACCGTAGGATAGCACGCTAAGATAAAGGATCCTGAGAGATTTGGAAATTGAAACGCCAAAATCTATAAACCGATGGGGTCACTTACAATTACAAATACATTCAGAACCCTTCAATTCATATGAAACTTGTATTGACAGTCTCAACCAAAGTCAGTTGCGTTGCTCGAAAAGGATGTATTAGCTGAATCTTGAATTCCTCGCAACTCTATAGGAATTTAGGATTAGTATGTTGGTTTGAAGCAGCAATCACAATTTCCCTGAAATGAAGAAATCACTATGGTGTTTATCCAATCCCCTTATAATTTCATTTTTAAAATATTCGTATTGAGGGATAGAAAATTAAAGACATTTAGCAATTAAGATATTTAAGATGCAACAGTCGCATTTAACCCGTCAAATGTTCAAAGTTCCATAATTGTAAAAACATCCCACAGTAGAGAAGATAACAGAGCTTAACCAACACCTAGTGCACGAGGAGTAAGAAAACGAAATAAAAAAAAATAAAAATAAAAGCAAATGATAAAAATAAAAAATAAAAAGAGCAGAACAACGAACCCTTAGAAACATAAACACTTCCTTTTAACAAATAAGAGCTCAAGAAGAAAAAGCATCGCACCTATTTCCGAAACATCTTCACGAAATGCATGTTGAAACCGTGAATTTTTCTCCTCGCTAAGCAAACCTTCATTAACATCACACTGTAGTTCAATCCCCGTATTCAAACCAACCAAATCTCCTAAGTACCCCTTAATCACGTAAGCAACTCTCAAAACCAAACTAAATCACGAACCCATCACAATAAGAAAAGAAATTTTCATCAAGTTCTCCATTTGCAACGAAAATGATCTCCCACCAAGAATCCTGGTGCAGAAACCAACAAACGAAGAAGTATTTCTATTGTTCTCTGTAATCAATTTCATGGTAGAAAGAGGACCAAACACCCCCTAATTTTTATGACCGCCTTCTCCCCAAGTGCACCGAAAACATATATTCCAGTAGTGCACACTTCTTTGATATATAATACGCGAGGATGCGCGGGTGTTTCAATTTTGGGGTTTAAAGGGAAATTAAATACTTGTCAAAAAAGGGATATTAAATATCATCGTTGGTCGGGCTAGATTCCAAGAGTGGGCCTGCCCAGCCCCAGCCAGTCAGCCACACACATCCGGGTTACTAACTAACAACTATTCATTAATAATTAAATAATTATTTAATAATATTAATTAATTAACTAATTATTTAATTAGATAATTAAATAATAAAATGTGCAATAATATAAAATATTATTGATTATAATAATACTTCATATTTAATTAATTAATCATTAAATAACTAATTATTAAAATGATAATTAGTTAATGAAATATTAATAATACTAATTAAAAATAGAATATAAAATAATACAAAAATGTTGATTCTTTAACCTTTAAGTCCAATTTGGGTCGGGTTTGATTTTTGGTTAACAAGCGCACTGGATCATGATCAAGGGGTGCAAGTTAGGCTAGGTTATGTCAAGTTGAGGTCAACCTAACCCAACCTGAGTTATGGAACCCTGAATCATAACTCTAATCCAACTTGAAAGCTGGGTTGATTTGGGTTGGGTCAACTTGGTATTTGATTGAACCTTATTATGTTGGGTCATGTTTGAAAATTGCATGTTACTAAATTAGCTCAAGTTGAGTTAGGGCAGTAGGCTATTCACGGGTAGGGGTGTAAATGGATCGAATTCGAATTAAATTAGATAATACCTGAATTTGAATCCGATTAAAAAATCGATATTTAAATCCGATTTAATATCCAATGAATATTGAAAATTGATATTTTAATTTAAATTTGACTAAATATGTGAATATTCGATTTAATTTGATTTCGATCAATTAATTATTTTAGGTAATTAATAAATATATAAAATAAATATTTTATTTATATAAAGAATATAAATATATAAATTATTTATATAATTTAATTATTATATATATATATATTATATATAAAACATTTAAATATGTTCGATTATGATATGAAAAAGATAAACCAATAAACTGGAATCATAAACGTGATAGCGAATTAGGTGTTAACATGTGAGGGGATAGCGGGAAACAGTTTTTTGCGATGTTTAATTCAGACGTTTGGCAACAGTTATTGATAACCGTTGCTACTTATATATATAAAAGAAATAAACTATGGTATAATATATAGTATAAAATAATTTATAATATATAACATATTAAGAGAATTTCTTTTCTTTTAAGTTAAGTTCCAATCCTTTAGCCTTCATGTTTATTTGTTTACCCATTCTCTTATGTCACTTTAATTTTATTTATTTTTTCACTTATATTATCTTGTTTTATTCTTTTATATGGAAGTGTTCTATGTAATGTTGGTTCTTGTTGAATGTTTTTATTTGCTAATGAACTTTGAAGAACATTATTTTATATACTTAATTATTTTATATAAAAAGATTAACTAAATACTAAATTCTCAAATATAAATTAAGTTATCATTAAATGATTTATAAAAATAGATAATTTTTACTCAAAATATGTCAATTTTGATAACTTTTATAAGAAATATATCATATGCAAATTCATAATTTTTAATTACTAAAATAATTATTTCATTATTAAATTTGAACTTTTATATTTTTTGAAACTAAAAATCATTTTTTCATATAAATGTAAATTAGTGAATTTGATAGATTCAATTTAATATTATATTCTTGAATATTTTGTAAATATTTTTTTTACTTTTTCGTAAGATATATAGCATGCACAAACTTATTAATTTTAAGTACTAAGATAACTATTCTATCTTAGGATCAAAATCACCATTTGCTATAAATTTGGATTTGATAGATTATTTATATCATGTAGTTATAAAATTCTATTTTTAAATATTATTTCCTTTAATTTTTAGTTGGAATTGTTAACCCTAAATATATAAATATATATTGTTTGTTTAGATGAGCATAAAAGTTAATAAAATTTATTTTATTTCATTAAATAGCATAAAAGGCAAGATGGCTTAGTGACTTAAAGTAGCGATAAGAGTTTTAGTGCTATCATTAATTGATCCAAGTTCAAGTCATGCTTTAAGCGTTAATAAATTTTTTTCAGGTGAGACGGATCGAGACGGGTTTAATGGGTTTGGGATGGGACGAGTTTGAGAAATTGAGAGGAAAAGTTATACGGGTTTGGGATTAGGGGTACATAGGTGGGTTCAAGGCAATTTCCATGGGTACCATACCCATTGCCATTGACGTTCAAAAGAAACATCGCAAAATCCCTCTTTTACTGTAGTGTTTCCATGACTAGATATAAAATAGAATGGAATTTGACCTAAAAATATTACAAAACAATTATTTTCTGGTGGCCCAAATTTGACTATTGACCAACTATTTCCAGACTACCCAGATTCATCATGATCAAGTACTTGATTTCTCAAACTCATAACTTCCTGTTGTTTATTTGTTTTGAGAGTATAACCTACCATTACTTAGATCTCATAACATACTATCAATTAGACACAAATTTTGACCTTTTCTATCACTATATGACCCCTTTTTGGTGGTTTAAAACTAGTTAATCATCATGATTTTCAGATTTTCCAGGTTCAATATGTTTGGAATGCTTGTTCCCAAGATCATAACTTTTCACCCAAAAGTTCAAATGAAATGTTCTACCTATTGTTTCAAATAGCTCACTAAGAACTAGGGTTTGGAATCAAAATCTAAGCAAAAAACGTTGCTAGAGTGTTACAAGTGAACTCTTCACCGTGCCATCTCTATGCTCGTGACATACCATCAGAGTGTCATCAAGTGTGTCTTGGGTGGGGGGAATGCCAATGGCATATAATTACTAATATGATTTTTCAACACTTTGATGTTTCCTTCTGTCACTCCCCCAAAAGCTTAAGCTACTCTTTGAGGGGACGTAGGTAGTCGAGTGAACTAAGAACGTGTAAAGGTTAGGCATGAGGTCCACTTGACACTAAACAGTGTGCTTGTACTTGCCATCATTTTGTGCAATACAAAGAGCTTTTTGGCTAATCTATGTGCTTTGTTGTTGCCTTTGTTGCCTTTGTTGCTTATTGCTTTGTTTTGTAGGCTTTCTCGACACAACCAAGCGGCGCACGGGTCCTCATCGATTAGCCCCATGATAGTTGGTATCAAGTAGGAGCTCACTACATGCCTCGGACCAAGCATGTGACCCTTGACAATAAAGACACCATGATAGGGACTCTTCCAMACCTACAAGACCAACAATGCACTTAAAGATGACCCTAACAAGGACAAGGCCCCAAAGGGGTGAACATCTAAATCTAGCAAGCGTGAAAAATCTACTGATAAGCTTACCAACATTAACATTTGCATGCTATGTTGTGATGTAATAGTAAGACACATTATCATGTAGAGGAGCTTCACCTCACCATGGAAGTAGTTGAATCTGCGGTGGTGGAGTTGGAGGAGCACTTGAATGGTGCCCTGGAATCCTGGATGAAGTTCACAATGTGATGAATGGAATCCTCAAGGAGGTCTTGAGTACTTCATGTCAACAAGAAGGAAGCTCCTCTCAAACAAATGTCCAAGACTCGTTTAACAAATTTCAAGCATAGCTTGAAGAAATGAAAGGTGAATGGAAAGGTGGAAGAGAACCATGTCCACATCCTTGGTCGTTCAGGCCCAATTTGATGCAATGAAAGAAGATTGGGCAACCACAAAGTCAGCCATGTGCACCTCAGCCAACATGCAGTCCCAACTAGATGAGATTAGGGGGAAGTGCAACATCTTGAAGAGAGCGGTTGCCAATTTGGCAAGCTCCACAACGACATTCAATCCTGCCCACATTAAGATTCGAGAGGCAACTCCCTACTCAGGTGGTTGCTATGCACGTGAGCTTGATAACTTTTTGTGGTAGATGGAACAATACTTTTTGGCAACAAACCTTATCGAAGAAATGACCAAAATTCGCACTACATCCATGTATTTAGCTGATGTTGCTATGTTATGGTGGCATAGAAGATGCAGAGACATTTAACACGTCCCGTGCACCATTGACACTTGGGTCGAATTCAAAAGAGAAATAAAGAGAAAATTCTACCAAGAGAACATAGAATACCTGACCCGTAGAAAGCTGAAAGGACTCCGACACAAGAACTCACTCCATGACTATGTCAAGGAATTTCCAGCCCTCACATTCGAGATCACCGACATGTCAAAGGACTTGATCTTCAATTTTATGGATGGTCTACAACCATGGGCAAAGATAGAACTTTAACAACGAAATGTTCAAGATCTTGCATCAGCCATGCCATAGCCGAACAATTCATTGACATGAGACTATTGAACGACGATAAGCCTCCAAGCCCGTGTACTTCAGACTTGAGTGGGGGAGACAATCAATCAAATCCCTTAGGCTCAATTTGGAAGGAGTATAAATACAAATATGTAGTGTAAAACTTGCATTTTGTATTACTTTGTATGATTTTGCACTGTACATATTTGTATTTGTACTCCATCCAAACTGCACCTTATGAGAGAAACAACCTCACTACAACAAATCACCGAGTATTAAAAAGGGAAGAAGCCACAAGGAAACTATAACACTTACAAGTACAAGAGGTCAACTACCTCGTCACAACCATGCTTCATTTGTAATGAAATGCATTGGACAAGAAACTGCCCTACAAGGAAGAAACTCAATGCTCTCATCACCAAGCTCAGTGATGATGAACAAAGCAATGAGGACAGAACTGCTCCAGCCCCAAGGGACGGTGCCCTCCAACTACTCAATGCCATGGTAAAGAAAGAAGCCACATCTAAGCTACCCAACAAGGCCCACAAGGGACTCAAATATGTTGACACTACACTCGGCGAGAGGTCGACTCAAGCCCTAATCGACATGGGCACAACACATAACTTCATCTCACTGGTTGAAGCTAGGTGACTTAACTTGGCTACATCCAAACGGAT